GTGGCGATGTTTGCGCTCAGTGGAGCCATTCTGTTGATGTGCGTGAGGACATGACACATGATGAGCAATGCCAATGCTCCGGAAGAAAGAGTTGAGTTTTTCATACTCCCCTCCCCAGTCACTTTGGACTGCCAGAATTTTTCTATCAAATTGCCTTTCAACGAGTTTCTGGAATTCTTGAAAGATAGAAAAAACTTCAGATTTATACTTGAGTAAATAAATCCAAATAAACTTGCTGTAGTCATCAATGAAACTCACATAATATTTTTTTCTTCCAAAAGAATCTCGGGCATGGCCCCATACATCACTAAAAATAAGCTCTAAAGGAGCATGAGAAACGCTATAAGACTTGGGATACGGAAGCTAGTGACTCTTGGCACATTGACAAGCTTCACAAATAGACTCACTAATGGAACTTTGTGACAAAGGGAGTTTGTCTTTATTAACTACTTGTTTCACTATAACTGAAGATGGATGTCCTAATCTTTGATGCCACTTTTCCAGAGAGGGTTTGGTGACGGAGTAGACTTGACGACGCCGGCGACTAAGTGCTCCGGATGTGATGGGGTAGAGACCCCCAATGCATCTACCGTGATGGAGAAGTTCCCTCGTTGCCCGATCCTTGATGAAAAAATAACGAGGGTGAGTTTCAAAGAAAATATTATTATCGGTGGCTAGACGAGACATGGATGCAAGATTTTTATCAGCTTGTGGGACATGAAGGACATCCTTAAGAATGAGATCACGTTTGAGATTAGGGGAATTAATTGAAGCTTGACCAATGTGGCAAATGTCCATACCACCTCCACTTGCAGTATGGATCTGATCAGCGCCATGGTACCTCTCGCGAAGAGCAAGTTGCTCTAGTTCATTGGTGACATGGTCGGTGGCGCCAGAGTCAACGTACCAGCCGCCTTCTCCTGCTTGTTCGCGCATGGCAGCAGCAACATGACGAGAGTCAGGGACAAAACTCTCATCATAGCGGTGCCAGCAATCCATGACCTCATGGCCAGATTTCTTGCAAAGCTGGCATCGGGGACGAGGACGTGGGGCGGCAGGACGACGGTTGTTGTTGGAGTTGAAGCCGCCGCCGCCACCGCTGCTGTTGGAGTTGTTGTAGCCGCCCCCGTTGTTGTAGTCGTAACCCCCACTAGAGCGGGCGCTGTCGCCCTGAGGAGCGCCGCGTCCGCGTCCGCCGCCACGGTTCTGCTGGTGACCGCGCCCACGGCCGCGACCACGAGCAGCAGAGTTGGCCGAGGACTGCCGTAGATCGCCTCCATGAAGAAGGGTGAGGCGCGCGTCGAAGCTCAGTAGCTGGCTGTACAGCTCCTGGACGGTGATGGGTTCCACACGAGCAGCAAGTGCGGAAACGACCGGATTGTACTCCATGTCCAAACCAGCGAGGATCTTGGAGACGATTTCCGGGTCGGAGAGAGCTGCGGCAGTGCACGCAACTTCATCGGTGAGACTTCTAATCCTGCCAAGATATTCAGCCATTGTCAAGTTACCTTTTTTTAGGTTAGTGAGCTTGATGCGGGTGTTGATGGCTTGGGCTTGGCTCTCGGCGGCAAACATGGCGTGGATGGTGCTCCAGCCTTCGGCCGACGTCTGCAACGTCGCGACCTGTGTGAGGATATCGCGGGAGAGTGATCCCATGAGATACCCTTGTAGCTGCTGCTGTTGTGCATACCAGAGGGATCGGGCATGGTTGAAGATCTGTTCCTCCTTGCCTTCCTTGGTAACGGTGAGGGTGTCCGGCGGTGGCGGGCTCGTCCCATCGAGGTGGTGTTCCATCTGTGCGCCTTTTATCTGCGGCAGCACAATGGCCTACCATAGGAGGAAGTTTCCCCTCGTGAGCTTCTCCTGTGGTGGCGATCCGAGAGACCCCGCGGTGGTGCTGGATGAGGATGGTGCGAAGGCGGAGGATGAGGTGGTGGTGATCGCGCCCGAGGTGCCGGACAGCGATGCAGCGGCGGTGGTGGACATGATCTCGGTCGAGGGAGAAGGCTTGATGCGCTTTTCGGGAGGTAGCTAGATGCGATCTTTGATCTATGAGGAAGAGGCTCTGACTACCATGTAAAATAGGTTGGAAAGCGTTGAACCCTTTGTCTCGGGCCGCATCTGTATATATATGGTATAAGCCTTGGCGTACAAGTTGAGGAGATCGATCACGAAGATCGTTACAGAAGATATTGAGAGGATAGCTACGGGAGAGAGAAGAAGAGATAGAGATGCAATACAAGTTTAAACAACAAGTCCTATCTCCATGCAACTATTCTAACACTCTTCGCACTCTGGGATATTTTGATATTGGCACACACTCAGAAGAGAATGTATTGCATGTTGGACGGCTGAGCAATCTTCAGGACCTCCAGCTCACATGTTCTAGAGTATGGCCAGCAGAAAAACTGGAGAAGAATGTGCAACTCCTAGGCTTGATTCTTGAGAAACTCTGTGTCCTGCGGTCAATAACTCTGGTACCAGATGCTTCAGGCTCCTCTTGTGTAATCATTCCGGAGGATGGCTTCAGCATGATGTCTCCTCTTTCGGACCCACTTCTTCAGAGCATCGAGCTGTCATGGCATTGTTGCATCTTCTTCAGCCTCCCTGAGTGGTTTGGAGGGCTTAGTAAACTCTAACTCTAAAGATCGCAATTAGGCGGCTGTAGAGGGAAGATATTGATATCCTGAAAGGACTCCCTGCCCTTACTGCTCTCAGCCTGCATATCCAGGAAGCTCCTGAAGAAAGGAGGATTATCATCGACGAGGAAGGATTCCAAGTAATCAAGTACTTCAAGTTCATGTGTGATGCACCATGCCTGACCTTTGCGCGAGAAGCAATGCCCAGAGTCCAGAAACTCAAGCTAGGCTTCAGTTCAATCAAAATGGAGCCAAATAGCTTTCAAATGGTTGGCTTCCTTAACTTGAGAAGCCTTACAGAGGTCTCTGTAAAATTTGCGGTTCAGGATGCTGAAAAATTCGACATAAAAGTTGCCGAGTATGTATTGGGAGCTGCGGTTAGGAATCATCCAAACACTCCTATAATCAGAGCGCAATCTGTTTTTGATGGCGAGGAGGATATGAGTACCTCGACTGAAGAAAAAGAGGAAAAGCGTAGAGAGATACAAGAAGGCAAGAAGAAGATGAAAGAAACTTCAGACACAGAGGAAAAGCGACATGAGATTGAACAAGACAAGAAGAAGATCATGGAACGATCAGAGGAACATGTGAGCAAGCAAGACGAGAGCAGGTACGGATATTCTTCACAGACCAATCGTGCCATTCGACTAATCTTCTAACCCTTACCATGTCTTCAACATTTTCCCTTCAGTATTACCAGATATGCACCATCAGTCGACGTCGTGATGGGCGCCATCGGCTCCCTCTTACCCAAGTTGCTGGGGCTCCTCAAGGACGAGTACAAGCTGGAGGCAAAAGTCAAGGACAGCGTCAAGTCCCTCTACAAGTTGCTGGAGGGCATGCAAGATACCCTCAGGCGTGTGGCGAAGCTGGAGGACGATCAGGGGCATAGGGAAATGCCCAGCGTCTGGGCCAGGGCTGTAAGGGACCTCTATTATGATGCGGAGGATGTCGTTGATACATTACCAGTGTGCGTCGATGGTTCTCACGCATTCATTACAAGGGTCAGTGAGTTGTTAAGTAGAAAGAAGGCCCGCCGTGAGTTTGCCGACGTGATCATTGGCAAGGTGAAACAGGCCCATGAATTGGAAGCACAAGTTGAGAGGTTCATAGCCCTGTTTGACCCCCGCGATGCTGCTAATCTAAATGTCGAAGCTAGCATTGGCCCTCGCCTGATGGCTTTGTATGAAGACCCGAAAGGGCTGGTTGGCAACAATGTTCCAAGGGAGGAGGTGATAAACCAGCTGACACATGGAACTGGTGATGTGTTCAAGCAGCTGAAGATAGTCTCCATTCTTGGAAGGGGAGGATTGGGGAAGACAAACACTTGCTAAAGCAGTGTATGACAAGATTCAAATGAAATATGATTATGCGGCTTTCATTTTTTTTATCTTCGAGTCCGGACATGAGGAAAGTATACATGAACATCCTCCTTGAAGTTGACAAGCAGAAGTACAAGAATCTCAATTTGGCAATATTCAAAGAAAGGCAGCTTATTGATGAAGTCAGGGAACAACTTGCAGACAAGAGGTATATATGCATGCATCTTTTATACTAGTAGCAAGTGTTTATGTAATGCTAAGAAATTATTAATACATATACTAAATCCTAACTCATGCATTCTCATGGCCATATATAGCTACTTAATCATTTTTGACGATATATGGGAGAGGAATGACTGGGAGGCAATCAAATTCGCTATGATAGATAGTGGACGTGGAAGTAGAGTTGTCACAACTACTCGGATCAAAGAACTACTCCCTCCGTCCGAAAATACTTGTCATCAAAATAAACAAAAAAGAATGTATCTAGAACTAAAATACATCTAGATACATCCCCTTTTATTCATTTTGATGACAAGTATTTCCGGACGGAGGGAGTAGCAAATATGACATGTGAAGCGTTCGAGTTACAAGCACTTCCGCATTCACAATCCAGAGAATTATTTAATACAAGATTATTTGGTGGTAAAAACAACATACCTAGTGGTCTGCCAAAGGAATATGAAATTCTTTTACACAGATGTCGTGGTGTACCATTAGCTCTCATTACAATGGCTGGTTTGTTGGCTGGCAAACCAATGGACCTTTGGTATAAGGTGTACAACAATATTGGTTTTGGGTCCGAGGATGAAGAGAGCTCGCACAGTAAAGATTAGTGTTATATGTCTGCCGTAATTTTGCCCATCATCTTAGGGCGTGTTTATTGCATCTAGCCAACTTTCCAGACAATTGTTTAATCAAGAAAGAAACTTTGATCTGGAAGTGGGCAGCCGAAGGTTTAATTGTTGAGAAACCAGAGTCAGGATTACTTGAGCTTGGAGAAGGATACTTCCAGGAACTCATAAACAAAAATGTGGTCATGCCGGTTGTTAAACATAGTACAACAGGCCCATAGGGCGCACCGGCCGAACCTGGCCTAGCTAGATAGATAGAGTCCATCTTGCTGTAACTTCTTATCTCTATCTCTCTAGATCTTCCTTGTCTCTCAAGATGTAATCCCAACAAACCTTGTATGATTATCAGGGAGATGCCCCTGCCTATATAACATGCAACGGTCGCCTCCAACGAGGTACGACGTTCTCCGCTCGTTTACATGGTAATCAGAGCCTCCTCTATCCATCACATCTAGCAAAAACACCTACCACCAGCCATGTGGTCCTCAAGCTCTGTCCAGACCGCCTCCATGGGGCTGGTCGCCGAGAAGCTCACCCGCACCAACTACGTTCTGTGGCGTGCGCAGGTGACTCCGCAGCTAAGAGGTGCTGGTTACTTCGGCTACGTCGACGGGACGATGCCGGAGCCCGCCCAGTTCATCTTCACGAAGGACAAGGACGGGAAAGAGGAGAAAACACCCAACCCTCTCTATCCGATCTGGTTCAGAGAAGGGCAGCGGGTACTTGGATACTTGCTCAATAACCTCACCAAGGAAGTCCTCGTGCAGGTCACGTCCATAGCCACGCCGCATGAGCTCTGGGCAGCCCTTGCCCACATGTTCTCCTCGCAGTCCAGGGCGCGCGTCAACAACATCAGGGTTGCGCTCTCCACGGCGCAGAAGGGAACGCAGTCGGTGGCTGCCTACTTCGCCCACATGAGGTCCCTTGCAGATGAGCTCGCAGCTGCTGGGAAGCCGATCGATGATGATGAGCTTATCTCCTACATCACCTCCGGCCTTGACATGGAGTATCAACCCCTCGTCTCCGCCAACGACGCCCGCACCGAGCCCATCAGCATCGACGACCTCTACGCCCAGATGAGTAACTTTGATCAGCGCCTCGCCCTCTACAGCACGGCAGGATCCGGTGGAGGGTTCAAGTCCTCTGCCAACGCGGCTTCTCGCGGCCGTGGTGGCGGCGGCCGATGCAGCGGTGGCTCATCTCGCTACCGTGGGCCGCAGCACTCCAAGGGCAAGTCTTCGGGCGGCGACGGCAACCCTCCTCCACGCAGCAGCAACGGCGGCGGCGGTCGGCCCTACAACAACAGCAACAAGGGTCGCCGCGGAGGCCGCCCACGCGCTGCTCCGGACATCATGCGCTGCCAAATTTGTGGCAAACCAGGCCACACCGCACGGGACTGCTGGTACCGTTACGAGGAAGATGGAGAATCTTCCCAAGATGAGAAGGTTGCGGGGGCGGCAGAAGGCTCCTACGGCGTCGACACGAACTGGTACGTGGACAGCGGCGCGACAGATCACATCACAGGGGAGTTGGAGAAGGTAACCATGCGCGAGAAGTATCGCGGGCAAGACCAAGTCCATACCGCCAATGGAGAAGGTATGAGCATTAGTCATATTGGTCATTCAGTAATAAAAACTCCCCACAAAAATATTCGTCTCAGAAATTTTTTGCATGTTCCTAGTGCATCCAAAAATCTCCTTTCCGTTCATCGCATTGCCATCGATAACCATGTGTTCCTTGAATTTCATCCGTTTTTCTTTTTGATCAAGGATCAGGTCACGAGGAAAATTCTCTATCGAGGTAGATGTGTTCGAGGGCTCTACCCGTTGATTCCAGAGCTTAGGAGATTGAATAAACAAGCCTATGGTGTCACCAAAGTGTCTTCAACACGATGGCACGATAGATTAGGACATGCATCGTTTTCTTTGATTGAAAAATTGCTTAGAAAGAATAAGCTCCCGTTTGTTGGTGAGCGTAGTTGTGAGACTATTTGTGACTCATGCCAACGTGCTAAAAGTCACCAGTTAGCTTATCCTATATCTACAAGTGTTTCCACCAAGCCTCTTGAACTCATTTTTTCTGATGTGTGGGGTCCTGTGCCTACCTCAGTTGGGCGTCACACCTACTACGTGAGTTTCATTGATGATTTCAGTAAGTACACATGGATATATCTCCTCAAAAAGAAATCTGATGTGTTTCAAGTTTTTCACAATTTCCAAGCACTTGTAGAAAGAAAGTTCAACTGCAAAATTCTAGCTATACAATCTGATTGGGGAGGGGAATACAGAAACCTAAATTCCTTCTTTCAACAGATTGGCATATCTCACCGCATATCATGTCCTCATGCTCACCAACAAAACGGATCCGCCGAGCGTAAGCATAGGCATATCGTTGAAGTAGGTCTAGCTCTTCTTGCAGCTGCCTCTATGCCACTAAAATTCTGGGATGAAGCCTTTCTCACCGCAGTTCATCTTATCAATATCCTACCTAGTAGAGTTATCAACAATGAAACTCTGGTAGAACGCCTTCTTCACACCAAGCCTGACTACAAATCACTTCGAGTGTTTGGTTGTGCGTGCTGGCCAAATCTTCGTCCCTACAACAATCGCAAGCTTCTATTCTGATCAAAACAGTGTGTTTTTATTGGTTACAGTCCACAACATAAAGGTGTAAAATGCCTTGATGTATCCACAGGTCGTGTCTACATCTCCCGTGATGTCGCATTTGACGAGACTGATTTCCCTTTTGCACACCTCCACCCAAACGCCGGCGCTCTCCTTCAAAAGGAAATCCTTCTTCTCCCATCTCACCTCACCGGCCTTGACAATGGGGATGCTTTTACTACTAATGATCAATTATTGACTAATTCTCCTACTAATGCTGGTGATGAGTTTTGTGATGAAGCAAAAAAAATCGGCGCAGAATATACTGAAGAAATCAGCCAAATTCGTCATTTTATGCCCCCTGCATGCAGCAGCCGCGTCATCGAGGCGGATCCGCCTCGGGATCAGGGCGTATCAGCCGTGGGCTCCGCGCATGACGGGACGGACGAATCCTCCTCGAGCCCCACGCCACGCCACGCCAGCGGTGGCAGCAGCGGCTCCGCGCCGCGACAAGTCGACAGCGCCCCAGCCAATCATGGCGCGCCTGCGCGGGTGGACCCTGCGCTCGGTCGGTTCGGCGACGAACCGCGTCACTACACGCGGCGCGCGCCTCGGCGGGATCTGGGTGTGGAGTCCCGCGCCGCATCTGCGGGGGCCCACTCATCATTGCCCCATCATGAGCCGGACGCCGCTGCCCCCGCCGCCGCCGGATCTTCTGTGGCGCCATCCTCCCGTACGTCACGCCCGATGGCCGCAGAAGATCCCGCCTCGTCGCACGCGCCTGAGGCCCCCGGCAGGTCTTCTTCGGGATCTGCAGCAGCTCCAGGGGCCGGATCTTCTGTGCCCGCTTTGTCACCATCACGGACCAGACTTCAAAGGGAAGTAATTCAACCCAAAGACTATAAACATATAGCAAAATTTGGTTATGCTTGTAACACACATAGTGCAGACACTGTTCCACGTACTGTTGCAGAAGCTTTGGATGATCTACGGTGGAAGAAAGCCATGGAAGAAGAGTGCATGGCGCTTCACAAAAATAAAACATGGCACTTAGTCTCTGCACATCAAGGCAAAGGTAAAAATGTGATCGACTGTAAATGGGTCTTCAGAGTAAAGAAGAAGTCTGATGGAACCATTGATCGTTACAAAGCTAGGCTAGTAGCAAAAGGATTTAAGCAAAGGTATGGCTTAGACTATGAGGATACATTCAGTCCTGTTGTAAAGGCTGCCACTATTCGCCTCATTTTGTCTATTGCCATGTCCAGGGGATGGTGTCTCCGCCAGCTAGATGTACAGAACGCGTTTCTCCATGGTGTTCTGGAAGAGGAAGTGTTCATGAAACAACCTCCTGGGTTTGAGGATAAAAGTAAGCCTCTTCACATTTGCAAGCTTGATAAGGCTTTGTATGGATTAAAACAAGCCCCTAGAGCATGGTATTCCAGGTTGAGCTCAAAACTTCAGGCACTTGGTTTTGCTCCTTCCAAGTCTGACACCTCATTATTTATTTATAATAAGTCAAATACCTCTATATTTTGTACTTATATATGTTGATGATATCATAGTCACAAGTTCATCAGATGAGGCTGTTACAGGATTATTAAAAGATCTAAATTCTGAATTTGCTCTCAAGGATTTGGGAGACCTGCATTATTTTCTTGGTATTGAAGTAAAAAGAGCAGGAGATGATCTCTATCTTACCCAAGAAAAGTATGCAACTGATCTTGTAGCAAAATCAGGGTTGGAGGGTTGCAAGCCAGCATTAACACCTTTGTCTAGCTCAGAAAAATTGTCCTTGTTAGAGGGAGAACTCTTGAATCAAGAGGATAGCACCAGGTACAGAAGTATGGTTGGTGCATTACAATATTTAACCTTGACTAGGCCTGATATTTCCTTTGCTGTGAACAAAGTTTGTCAGTTTCTTCATGCACCCACTTCAGTACACTTGACAGCTGCCAAACGCATACTTAGATATGTCAAAAATACCTTGAGTATTGGACTAACATTCAGCAAGTCACCATCAACACTTGTCAGTGCATTTTCTGACTCTGATTGGGCAGGTTGTCTAGATGACAGACGATCAACTGGTGGCTTTGCAGTGTTCTTTGGTCCAAACCTGATTTCTTGGTGTGCTAAAAAGCAAGCTACTGTATCTAGGTCCAGTACAGAAGCAGAATATAAGGCACTAGCAAATGCTACTGCTGAAATTATCTCGGTTCAGTCTCTGCTTAAGGAGCTTGGCATACGCTGTAAACAAGCTCCATGCTTATGGTGTGATAACCTTGGTGCCACATATCTTTCTGCCAATCCAGTTTTTCATGCACGGACAAAACATATCGAAATAGACTTTCACTTTGTCAGAGAAAGAGTTGCTGCCAAGAAGTTGGATGTTCGGTTTATTCATTCTCAAGATCAAGTTGCTGATGGGTTTACTAAAGCCTTGCCTACAAGAAGTTTTGAGGAATTTAAACGTAATCTCAACTTGTCCAAGTTGTGAATATGGGAGGGTGTTAAACATAGTACAACAGGCCCATAGGGCGCACCGGCCGAACCTGGCCTAGCTAGATAGATAGAGTCCATCTTGTTGTAACTTCTTATCTCTATCTCTCTAGATCTTCCTTGTCTCTCAAGATGTAATCCCAACAAACCTTGTATGCTTATCAGGGAGATGCCCCTGCCTATATAACATGCAACCGTCGCCTCCAACGAGGTACGACGTTCTCCGCTCGTTTACACCGGTAGAGGACGACTCACACCCTTGGAAGGTACTGGGTTTCCGTGTCCATGGTTTGGTGCGGACTATGATCATGTCCTTATCAACTAGTGAAGAGAGCCTTGTTACCGTAGCGCATATGGATGGAAACAATCAGGACTCCGATCGTGAAAGAAAGGCTCGCAGGTTGGCTGTCCAAAATTGGACCATGGGGCAGGGTGACCCTCTGTTGTACACCCGCCCAGAAAGGCTGAGGTCATTTAATGCCACCGGGTGTATTTTTAGCATGGAACTATCACTTTCAAGGTTTAAGCTCTTGCGTGTGATTGCTATAGAGGAATGCACTTTCTTGGAAGGCAGCTCTTGTGATCTTAAGCATCTGGGGAAGTTGCATCAGTTGAGGTACCTCGGACTATACAACACAAATATTGGCAAACTACCCGAAGACATAGGGGATCTAATTTCTTTGCAGACACTGGACTTGAGGGGAACCAGTGTCCGAGAACTGCCCCTGGGAGTTGCTCGGCTAAGACAACTCAGGTGCCTGCGAGCTGATGAAGGCATAGCAGTCGGGATGGGGAATCTCACATCCCTAGAGGAACTACGGCTCGGTGATGTAGGCATGTCGGGAAACTTCGTTGAAGAGCTAGGCAAGCTGACGGAGCTAAGGGAGCTCCATATTTGGGTTGGAAGGTTGGATGAGAAGCAGAGGAAAGCTTTGGTGCAGTCTATGAGAAAACTGGAGAAAATCCAAGTCCTAAGACTTATGGCTCACTGGTCATTCGGTGGTCAGCTCATTTGGGGAGACTATGATCCACCTCGAGAACTCCATGAGTTGCACCTAAGCATCCTGTCCTCTCGGCTGCCGAAGTGGGTCAATGTCTCCCATGTTCCGATTCTCTCACACTTGTATGTGCATGTGATGGCTGTGGAGGATCAGGATCTGGATACCCTTGGGGCTTTGCCAGAACTCATTAGTCTGGAACTGGTGATCTGGTCGAATGTCTTCCATAGCATCAAGGGCGACGGTGCATTCCCCAAGCTGAGGCGCTTTCACATGTCGTCAACGCTCAGGTTTCTACTGGGCGCTATGCTGCGACTGGAATTTCTTCACTTCAAAGTTGACGTCCCAGCCTTAAAGGATGCCAACGTTAACTTTGATGATGACTTTGCTGCATCAACGTTGAAGAACCTCCCTTCACTTCAGAAAGTGGAGGTGGAAATCAGCTCTACTGGTGATGTCGAGGCGATACATGAAGCACTGAAGCGTGCAGTGGACGAACATCCAAACAGTCCCAGCCTTCAAGTCCTAAAAACTGATCTGGTACGTGTGTCTCCTCATCACACCAATATGTCTAGCGAAGTTTATTCTCGTTCTAACACATAATCATTTAAGTGTTACAGAGTTTATAAATACATTAACATGCATGTCTGTTTCTGTTTCTAAACATGCTTGGTTTCTTACTTGCGTTATTTTACAGATGGGCACTGCACGCCGGAGACTACTGTAACCATGCCGCTGGCTGCAGGGCCACCTCGTCAGTCTTTGAGCTTAGTTCATGTTTGAAGGGGTAAAAGCAACCACAAAAATCTCAAAAAGAAAAAATGTCTTTGTGTTGTTTACTTATATTTTGTAAAAAACTAATTTGGTGAAACTGTTTTGTTTTAAGTGTGTAATAAGTTGGCTAGTTTGGTGGTGCACACCAGGTTTTTTGTCCCTTAGGTTATGTTCCCAGCGAATGTAACTAGAGGGTTTTCCTGGTGTGCGTTTAACTCAGCGAACCTATTTCCATTTCTATTGTTGTATTTAATACTGTATACATTCTTGTAAGGTAAAATTCCGTGATCCTGTATTCTTTTCTTGTTTTCGTCGGTTCAGGAACCATTACATTTCTATGGTCCTCAGTTTTACTTCCTGAAAGCTAGCTAGCTCATGATGAACTATCTATTTTCACTTTCCTTCCAAATAAGTAGCTCATGATGTACTCCCTCCGTTCTTAAATATTTGTCTTTCTAGACACTTCAAATAAACTATCACATACGGATGTATGTAGACATATTTTAGAGTGTAGATTCACTCATTTTATTTCGTATGTAGTCATGCACTAATAAGACTCCAAATCCTTGGTTTGAGCATCCCTTTCTTTTGTAACCTCTCTTAGGAACTTCAAACGGAACAAGGCTAGGTGCCCCTTGCCGGAAACTATATTCAAGAACTAATCCATTCGACCCGACGAGGGTCGAAGCCACTCGTTGAAATATCTAGAAAGACAAATATTTAGGAACGGAGGGAGTACTACGTAGTTCACTTCTTTGTGATGTGATGTACACTACTACCAGCTTGTTTGCCGGCTGCCTCTGCTGCCGTCATGGCTGCATTCAGACTCCTTTTTGTCTTTCTCAAAATCAGAAAGTGAAGCCCTAGTCAGTTTGTTTATTTGGATGCCTATTTATTTTCTTCGTTCCCAATGAGCTGATCTGCTATTACCTTTGTACAGAATTAGTGTCCCACTGGAGACAGGGCAGCTACGTATTTTTGGTTTTCGTATCATGTAGTAAAACATATTGAGTTCACATTATGATCTCAAGCAGGCAATTTTTACAGAACATGAAGAATACAAGTTCTCACTAATAGTATGCACTAACAGTTTCACTTTCACATGTGAATTTCTTGTGGTGTCAACAAAAGAAACTTCATAATCTGAAAGTTTGAACAAGTCTAATTAGGAATGGCCACGGTCGGCCTTTTAATTGCGGAATCTCTCGGTAAATTACAGAGAATTGCTCACCTATTTGCCATGCGCCGTGCCGCCGTGCTGCCCTCGCCGTCACCGATCTGCTGCGGTTTGCTGCCTTCTGGTTATGGCCTTGCGCAGGTTGGGGGCTCGCCGGTGCTGCTCGCCCGGCTATTGCTAACTGGAGCGCCTACGATCCACTATACGCCGGAATAAGAAGTCCCACCGAAGGAGTCGCTGCCTGAGCTCCCCTGCCGCCTCCGGTAGTCGGCGCACAATTAATGAGCGCTCCTACGGGAGCCTCGCAACGATCAGCGCCATTTGGCGCGCTCTCAGCCATTCGCCATGTGTCGCACTTTGGGCGCTTCCTCTAAATTTTGTCTTTTTTATTTATTTTTCCGCACACATTTTCGGTTTTTAACGGTTTTTTTCTGGGTTTTTTCGATTTTTGGTTTTTCACCGGTCTTCCATAGCTTTTTGATAAAAAATTCAAAAAAAAAATATTTTTGCGCAAAAAAACGTGTTTTTTTCTTTCGCAAGAGTCACAGTTTTGCTCTCGCGAGAGGCACGGTTTTGCTTTCGCGTGAGTCATGGCCGTGCCTCTCGGAAACGAAAAAAAATCCGTTTTTTATTTTCTTTTCATTTCGCGAGAGTCACGGCTTTGCTTTCGCGAGAGTCACGGCCGTGCCTCTCGAAAACGAAAAAAAACGTGCTTTTCTTTTTTTCGCGAGAATTATGGTTTTGCTTCCGCGAGAGGCACGGTTGTGCTTTCGCGAGAGTCAGGGCTGTGCCTCTCGGAAACGGAAAAAACATGTTTTCTGGTTTTTTTTCTTTTGTGAGAGTCACGGTTTTGCTTCCGCGAGAGGCACGGTTGTGCTTTCGCGAGAGTCAG